TTTTCTGGCCTTTAATCTATGTCAATTTTTTGTCCCAGAAAAAAGCTGCTGATTTATTTTGTGTTTGGAAAAACTGACAAAATTTAATTAAGGCATTTGTTAGGAAATCTCCACCCAGACCTGGACTGATTGCTGAATTTTGATTTATCCATGACAGTAAATCTTCCACTTGAAGAGAAATATTTTCTACTGAATCCTGCACATCCAAAAGCTTGTGTGTTAAAGCTCATGTTTTGAATTAATCTGCAACGTTGGGAAAGGTTTTTAAATCTATCTCTTAATAGTCTTCAGCAACAACTATTAGTTGTTTTTAAAAACTTTAATTTGCAAATGAAATCAATGATTGATACAAATGAACCCCAAGCAAACAATGTAGTGGACAGGGTTGTAAGCAGAGTAAGCTCATGATGAGAAGAATGATTGGTATTCCATGCACCATGTCTAAGATTTCTGACAAAAATTGATGCTGGACATTATATTTTACATTCAGATATTTGATGGAATAATGTTCAAATGTGAGACAGCCTCTGGAAAATTTTTTAAATGGCACATTTTTTCTCAGGGACCATATGATGGTCAAATCAAAGCATGCTGCAGATACCAGAAGATTATATGTCAGACATATACATACATACCCCAAGTCAAGTTCAATTCAAGTCTTTGAAAACTGATGACTTTTCTTTCCAACACCCTTCCTTATGCTGATCATAAAAATCTTCAAATGTATCTTGATTCCCACCTTCCCAGACATTAATGCATGCATTAGCTTTGGATGAGAGAAAGATACCAATACTTTTTTTTTGCAGATTTTACTTGTGCTCTTCTAACTTTTAGAAGGGCCTTCAAGAGCAGTTTCCATTCAGCTTTTATGTCTTTTTTGCCCTTTTGAACTTCAAGAGGAAAATATAAAAAAAAAATTCAAAAGGCCAATTCTTGCAGCTTTCCTGACAGCATTTCTGTGGTTTCAACACCCCCAGGGGTTAATTGAGGGCAGCAAACAATTCAGAAAAATCAAACGTCACAAACCAAACGGGCTTCTTTTTTTCTGACAGGAAGAAATGGAAAAGAAGAAAATACTCAGATGGATGGTTTAATGAATTTAATTTTTTAATAATTGAAATGATTTTCAAATTATGCTCAGCGCTTAATTAAAAAAATTTCCTATTGGGACTCAAAACATTTTTTTAATCGAGCAGACTTATCAAAAATGGGAATTTTTCTGAGTTACACGAAGTCTTATTCCACAGTACTGTACACGCAAACAAAACCTGGCAGTTGTTTTTTTTTTTCAATGAAAATACTGTAACCGAATAGTGGAGCATTGGAAACTTGTTTTGAGGTATGAGGGGACAGGGGAACAACTTCATGTCATTGCTGGATGGGAAAAGGGGGTCGCTCGAATTTTTTTGAATAAACAGGACGATTGGACAAATAATTTTTAAAATGATCAAACATCTTGAAGAATTTTCAACTGGAAAGGGATTCAGTGTGGGTGGTTATTTAGGCGGAATAGTTGTAGATTTCAAAAGAAATTTCAAGTATGTGCATGCTGTATATTGACTGCAATCAATTTCAACAAATTTCTTCCTGAAAAACTTCACCCCATGCATATACTTTATATAGAATTTTTATATACCACATATGATTTTTTTTTACTGCCATTTAGTGGAAAACTGCAAATTATGCATATACTGCACATGAAAAGAAGCATTAAAAAAATTCCATAATGGTAACAAACCATTCAGTGAGAAAAAGTGTATGTCAAAGCCCATAGACAAAATGCAAAGCATTTTAATATTTTCAGATTCTTTACATTAATTGCAACCACTGTAATTGTTTTTTGCTGATTTTCCAGTTTTATTGTCCTTGAAATTATAAGAGTTTTCCTTCAGGCTTTCAATTTTTGAAAGCAGTGTAGTAAATATCACAGTGGAATCGCGTTTTACAACACACTTTTTTTTAAGCAAAGAATTATTACTCACAATAAATGAATTTGTTTTTCAAAGTTCCTGCTCAATAGCCACTAATGTGTCATTTAAATTTGGTTATAAGTCATAAAGACTTTTTATTTATAACAAGGCTTTTTCCAAGGTCCCAAATGCTTTGTTTCAACACATTTTATTTAATCACAGTAATTATTCACAGTTCTTAGCAAGTTGGCATTAAAAATTACTAAAAAGAAAAATCCAGTAGAGATTTGTTTTCTGCTATGGAAACTGCTGCATATTTTGATGTATATAGTCAGATATTACTCATATAATCAAATATTTGATATTAAGACTTGCCTGTGTCATAAATATATTTATTTCCTTTGACTGAAAAGGTCTGCAGGGTACTTTTTTAATATTGCCCTGAAAAGTGTTGTGAATTGATTTTTCTCCTCTCATCAAAATTATGGTAAATTGATTTCTTACCTCCACGAAAATGTGTACTAAATTTGTTTTTTTTTACTTGCTCTGACAGTGGAAAATTTAATTTTTATTTCATAAAAAAATTTGATAACTTGATTTATTTTCTTTTTCGGAAAAGTATGCCAATTTTTATCTTGTACTGAAAATCATGATGAATTGATTATTTTTTCTTCAGAAATTATGATAAATTGATTCAATTCTTCCATCAAAAAGTATGGTAAGTTCATTCACATTGAAGCACTCAGCACTTCAGCAGTCTCAGCACTCATATTTATACTGAAGAAAAGGGCCTCTTGTGCTTTCAAAAAGCCACTGCCTTCATACAAGAGGTATCTGTCAATTTTTGAAAGTCCAAAAAAAACGACAACAAGTTTTCCAGAAAAAAATAATGATAACAAGAGAATCACTGTGAATGCTCTATAGTTTTCTCAAGTAAATAGACTAGTGCAGGTCGCGGCCATCTATACACACGTTGCATACACAATGAACTGGTTTGATGAATATAATGCTGCATCTACTCTCCGTTGGCCTCTACGCGCCCGGCCTCTGCTCTGACCCTGGCGAGGAGTAAATCGCCTGGGTTCACTTCGGTCCAAAGTTTCCTTAAGTACCTAACCCAGTTGCTTGGGCTTTCGTGTGTCACAAGTCCCCCTCAGGCCGCGGCCCAACCATCATGGTGCCTTCCCGCCCTCTGGGCATCGAAATTATACTTGCCTCCTTTTTTTCTCTTTTTTATGTATTGAGCTGCTGGTACTTGTTTTCATTTTTTTTAAAGCAAAGTAGGTAAAGTACAGTACAGGTGGTACCTCCATAATCCATTGCCAAACTAGGGTCAAATTGCAAATTGGTAAAATTTGCTCGACAATCTGTGAAATTTAAAAATATGTTAAAAAATGCAAAACAAAGTGGCCAAAGCAGGTCAAATTGAGGGGAAAGGGCTGAATTGCAAGTCAACCTCCATGCAAATTTGAGAATTGTGGGATGGTTGAATTGCTGGATGTCAAATTGTGAGGTACCACCTGTATTTTGGTCAACTGCATGGATGCTTGAAGGGAGTACCATTGTTCCTAAGACTGCATTTCAGCAGTTCATTTTGAATACATTGTGGTGCCTTGCCTTATATACAGAATATTTATTTGGACCCTTAGTTTTTTAGACCAGTGGTTCTCAACGTTTTTGTGCCCACAGACTGGCAAATTTTCATAAAATTTTCTGCTGACCAGCAGAATAAAAAAAAATTTCCTGCTAATTTTTTTTTCAACCTGCCAGCATAAAGTCCTTCAAACAAGAGTGTTATTGCAAATTTTAATTCCATAACCAATGAAGCAGCTGTAGTGGAATGTCATCAGAAAATTAGAAAGCTGAGGTTGGAGAAAGTTTCTCAGAATGAAAACTTGAAGTAATGTTCTTCAGCTTTTGAAAATTTGTCAGAAGTGTTCCCAGCAGGAGAAAAGTCAACTTTTATTTTTCATCAGATAATTCCAACTACCCCAGTCTTTCCAAAATTTCAGATTAAGATAACAGGCTGCATTAACATTTGATAAATTTAATATGTGGAAGGCACTTTTTGGTGGACTGGCAAAAAACTTCTGCAACTTACACCATGGGTACACTGGTGACACAACCCGTTAAGTGAAAAAGACTATAACCCTTCTCAATGGGTTGTCGATGATACGTCTCAAGTGGAGTGTAAAAAACCTTCCCAACCCGACTTCTTGACTGGTGGGTTGATTGGATTGTGTCAGGGACCGTAAGATGTCGCCCTTTACGCTCCAATCACTGCTACACCTGAAAATGCCACAAACACAGAAATCATTAATATCTCACAACCCTGTTTCCGACCACAAGAACTCACCTCAACTCGAGACCACTGTGTTGGGCAATTCACTTTTTCTGATATTGGGAAGAGTTACCCAACAGCTACTATGCAGAGTTCACCTCACATTTTTTGGAAGGGTTGGGCTGAAGAACTGACCACCCAACTAACCTAACCTCACACATACTCAATACAGCTGTACCCTGAACATCAGATGCCTCCCATGTTGGGTATTTTGCACCATTTTCTCATGTTAACCAGTAGTTTTTATTCTTGAATAATATAGTGGACATTCCTCTAGAGAGGGACTATATACTTTTCTTTAAAATGATGGTTGTTCAAAAAAACTGAAGTTGTCTAGAGAAATGAAGTGCCTCTGTGACTGTCTGCCACCGTTGGAATTTTGAACACAGTTAGTCAAACTTTGCTAATCAATGCATTGATGTTTTCATGCTTAAAATTGATGGCACAGACATTTTGGGTCAACAAATTTATGAAATCATGATTAGCCCCTTCAATTACTAATAGCCTGCAGTAACTGATGTGCTTTGGATGCAGGCCAACAACAGAGGAATACAGGAGAATACATATAGATGGACTCTCTGTACAACAATCTTGTCAAAAAAGATTTTCTCTGCATTACAAATTATTGTTTGGTTCCACAGGATTCTCTACTCATGTTAAAGTGATTTTCTACAGTACATTTGCTTCTGGTCCCTTGAGCTTTGTTTTGGAGAGGGTCCACCTGTATTAATACAGCTGCAGGATTGCCAATAAGGAAAACAACAAAGAATTCTCAGAGAAATGTTCAAGCTGAAATAAAAATCAATAAATAAATAAAGAAACAAGCAAATGCTGCATCCATATTTCTTCAAATGATAACAGCCAAATAAGCTTTGCGTCCAACAGCCATCAAACCATTGCTGGGCACAACTTCAACACTGATGAGCAGCGATTGTTCTCCCATTGTATTATTCAATGGCTTATTATCATAAGGCACATCAACCCTTGGAACACCAACAACAAACGTCTTCAACACCCCAGTGACATTATCCAAGAAATTCACCAAGTACGCGAATTTCTGCTGGTACACTGCGAAATTCTGCGGAGGCTTCCAAGTCACAATAATTCGTTCACTACTCCCATCGAAATCGATCCTCAACTGCTCCGGCGCTGGAACAACCACCGTAGATTGAGGTGCTCGCTGCTGCTGCTCTTCATTATCCCGCGTCCAATCCAACGCGGATATCAGAATCGGCGCTAGAGTCTCAGTGTCGACGATGCTGTCGCGATGCAGCCAGTAGTGGAAGCGTTTGTCATTGCAGCAATCCAGTCGTGGAACTTGAGTCATTTCTTGAATGTGGAGTTGGTCTTGGTGGGAAAGGTGAGTGATGACACCCGGGTGCGGGAAGTCGGCGTTGTAGATGGTGTGGTTGCGGTTGGTGTTGGCCCAGGACCAGTATCTCACTCGGACTTTCAGCTTCTCGCAAATGGTCCTGTTCAACCGAAAAGAGAGAGAGAGAGGGGGAATGGTTCCATGAGAAGTTAATTATTATGAGTCGAGGGTTTTACTTTTCCTTTGGGGCTCATGCGTGCCGGGGCAGGAAATCATCTTTCACTTGCGATGGTTTTGACCTAATGATGTAATGCACATTGCGAGAATTTATCCTGACCTACAAAATATGCTTTTCAACACTCTCTAGTGACATGGTGCAAAAATTCACAAAATATGCAAATTTCTGGCACAGTTGAACCTGATACAGGTGAACCTCAATAACTCAAACCTCCCTATAAGTGAATACCCCCAAGTCAAAATTTTTTTCAGGTCCCCATCTGAGTCCCCTTAGAAACAATACATTAAACGCCTCCCTAAGGCAAAGGCTTATTCCCCTCAAAACTCAAAAATTTGAATTTTCTGTGGCCTGTTGGCTATTATTTTCTTGACACAAGAAAGAAAAAAGCAATGAAACAGAAATTAATGTGTTTTAAAAGGAAGTTGTGAAAGACTGAATTGGGCAAATGAACCCCTGCATCTAAGTTCAGCATTCTTTCAACTCATTTAAGAAGCAGTTTAAGCCCCAAAATATAACCATTTTTAATTTTGGGAAATTTTTCTATATTTACCAGAACAAAAAGGATTTCTATTGCAGCTCAAATATCTATAATTAAAAACCCTTCTAAGTCAAAACCTCTTTAGGTCAAATGTTTTGCTGGTCTTTTGAAATTTGACTTAGAGAGGTTCAACTGTAACTTGAACCTCCCTCAGTCAATACATCCCCTTTTTTCAAGTCCTGGTCAGAATTCCCTTTGAAACAATGCAATATAAAAGCCTCTCTGACTTAAAGGCTTCTCTTCTGAAATCACATTTTCTGGGGCCCTTTGGCTATTATTTTCTTGAAACAGGAAAAAGAAAAACAATGAAAAATTAACAATGTGTTCTGAAAGGATGGGAAAGGCTAATTTGGCCAATGAACCCTTGCATCCAACTTCATCATCCTTTCAATTCATTCAAGAAGCAACTAAAGGCCCAGAATATCTTAGTTCACAATTTCTGGCAATTGTTATTCTATGTTTCCCAGAACATAAATGCTGGTTTCCCTGATTCAAAACCTTAAACCTCCATATTAAAGTTTAATTTTTTTTCCTGGTCCCTTGAATTTCAATTTAGAGAGGTTTGACTGTACCATGCAAAATTCTGTGGAGGCTTCCAAGTCACAATACTAAGCAGGAATTTCTCTTCTTTGCAATTTATGAGTCAAAATGTTGCCAAATGTTTGAATCTGAAACCAGATCCACAAATGGGGTACATACCTGGTATACTACAGTGTTTACTTTTACTGCCACGAGAAAAGCGTTTATTATACCGAAACATTATGTTTCTTCATTTTTTGGAAAAAATTTAATACTGTATTGTGAGCTACATTTGAGTATAAACTTTAATTTTTTATGCATTTGTGATGCTAGAATGTCGCCAAGAACTAGATATATACCCATTTTTGACAGTTATCTGAAAAATTCTGAAGGTTTTTTCCTTCTAAAAGACCATAAAAACTCCGATCATCATTCAACATATTACCAAAATACTTTTCACATTTTTCTTGCTGCTGGATGACGTTTAAAATTTCGGGAGTATCTTCAAACTTTTCCCATTCAAAATATCTTCATTCTACAGTACTTTGATCAAAATTTTCAGAATCTAATTTTAAAGCTATTTCAAGTGTTTCTTGTGTTTTTATTCTTGTTTCTGTAGTCTCAGCCCAGCAGTTTGTTATATCCAAGATTCCAAAAGAAGACCCCTTTTTGAATCCCTTTCAGGAAATTGATTTTACATGCTACCTACCTTGAGCCCAACTTAGAGATCAGGGTTCATCTGTTGTGATTTATCAAAAAATTTAAAAATGAAGCAGAATGTGTCTTTGCATTCAGAAATACATTTTTGACTTTAGCTGCAGCAGAATGTTACTTTTCTTGATTCCCCAAAAGCATGCTTTCAATTTGTATGTGAGTTTGGTTTAGAAAACATGCTCCTGTCATGATAAAAATTCAAGAAAATAGTCATATGAGGTGACTTATTGTACATAACTTCATTGCAGAGCATATATGCACATTTTTGGAATAATTTTCTTTCAGTTCATATTTTTGTTAGGAGGCATATTTTTTTTTTCAAGGTCCAAATGGGACCCACAGCAGGTCAGGAATGGGTCAATATTCAATTGCTCAAATATTGTACAAGTGATTGTGATAGAATGGAACCTCTTTGAGGAACAATGGATCATTCAGGATTTTGTATTGAAGTATTGTACTATTTGTACAGATGGTAAAGCATTCATAATTTCACGCGTCCGTTACTTCGCTGATAATGTGATCAGTTACATCAGTCAGCCGAGCCAGTCATTGTTTCCTTTTTTCATTTCATCTTTGTATCTTGATTTTTTTTAAATTTACTGTGCGGATATATCCGCGACTCGAGGAGGATTTCGTACAACCAGCAACAATCGCTTAGAATCCCATCGCTTCCGCGAGAGGTACAATAACTTTTACAGCAGTACATTACGGCACCAGCATTATTTTACAGTATTGCCTCTTTCAACGAATATAATGCAGAACTTACCTGAAAATTTGGTAGTTATCTGGATTCAAAGCGTACGGAAAAAGTTCCACGACAGCAGTTCCGGGTTTCAAGAAAAACGCCAACTTCATCAATGCTCCGTGGACTCCGATGATCATTTTAGCCGTCTTCGTCTTGCAGATCAGGTCAATCAATGAATGCGTTTCCAGTGACACTAATTCCACAGTTTTGCGCCCAGCATTGCCGTCGTCAGCATACATATCTTCCAATAAATTCACCAACTCGTCAAGATTCAAAATCCGTCTGGTCTTTTGACGATTTAGCACCAGAACCTTCGCAGCGTTAGGATCCACCGCACAAGTCGCTTGCGTGCACACTTCACTTCCCGGGGCCAGTTCGCAAAGCCGCTTTTCAATGAATTTCACGAACCTTTCCGTATCTTCCGGCTCCAAACTGGAGTCCATCGGCTGTTCATACTCGGCTGCTGCGGATGCGAAGTCGTAGTATTTCACGTCCTTCCGGAGTCCGACTTCCGCGCGTGAAAAGCACACGTAATCACCGTCATCGAACTCATCATGCGCCAGATTCCATATGCTTCTTCGCGAGAACGCGGCATAGAGCGGACTGTGCGGGTGCTGCGCGTAGTTCGCATGGGCACGCAGCAACACCAATCGATATTTCTCGATGCACGCATAGATGTCGCCAAAGCATAATTCGTCGTACGTGAAGAATAACGGGATGAGGTCGTCCAGGAGAGTGTGGGCCATGTTCGAAGGCAAAAAGGGATTCATGATGAACACAGATTCGTTTATGAATCGCATTTTCAATTGGGATGCCATTTCCAAAGGCAGGGTTGTGTAGACCAGGTGCATCATGTTATGGTCAGCGATGGAAGAAGCGTCGAGCAGCCTGTCGGAGCGAGCGACCTCTTCTCGTGGAACGCCAACTATTTGCGATTGCGGAGAAGTCAAGAATATAAAGGTGTCGCGCTGAGGGCTGACGCAGAGGTTGAAGATAGTGCATCTCCGTGTGACGAACGAGTCGCCGCGGCAATAAACTCTGGTTGATAAATCGTGCTGGATGATGGACGCGTTGGTGGTCGAGATTATCACCGAGGGAGTTTGAACAACTGCTTTGTCGGCTGTGAATACGTAGAAAAACAATGCGGCTGCACACGCGGGAATGAGACCATTATACAAAGTTGGTCGTGGGATTGAAAGGGGCTTCATTTCGGCCGTTCACTTGAACCACCGCGATTCTGAGATCAGTGTACAGTACAGTATTGTCATACCAGAAGCTTCCACTGAAGCATGCAACACTCATATCATCAGTGACATCTAGTCAAGATTCACGATATCCTGGAAATGAAACCCACTAAGTTAATATGATGCAGTTCCATTTTTCAGTCATCGCGTGGATTAACAAGTAATAATTATATTAATACGGTTCCTTTGGACGTAGAATCATTCCCACAGAATTGTATGCTCTCATGGACATCAAAGGAGAGCAAATTCGTCATTTATTGTGAAAATTTTAGCATCTACAGTTTTTGGTACAGTATTGCTGAATTTTTTAAAGACTTTTTGGAACTTCAGATTTTTATTTTGAGCTTCTGAAATAAAAGTTGGATATGGACTGATGGCTGTGAATTGTTGAACAAAGCTGTTCTCTATCGCTGAACAGCTGATATTAGAACAATTTTAAATTGACATGGGCAAAATTTTTACACTGGAGCATACAAATGAATAGTTCATATGTTATGCATACAGGAATTGAAAAGTCATTGAAATTAGATTTTCATTGCAGGATAAATTCAATTTTTCCCATGCTATTTCAAAAATTAGTTTTGAATTTTGACATTATATTAAATTTTACACACTTCAATGGGAACATTCAATCCATTCCTAAATTGGGACAATAATTAATGAAAGTCCTCTAAAATTCAAGTCAATACTGTACATTTACTGTACATATTTTACTCAACTTTCAGATACAGAAAAGAGAAACGTACAGAAACTGCCTTTTGTCTGGAAAAGGTAAAAAAAAAAAAAACCATGCATACATTGCTGCATACTGCCCAAACTTTGTTTTAAAAAAAAAACCACTAGAGGGAAGCACAGGATTGACGTGCTCTAGAAAATCATGAGAACATTGTACATCAGTACTTGTCAGGCCGATTAATGACAAATTAGAGGAGAGAATAAAACGCAGTCACTCAGCCTTTAACGGCCGGATCCTCTTTAACAGAGTCCCTTTAGAGTAAGCAGCTTTATCCAAACACACAACCACAGAAGGACACAAAGTACCCAGAGGTACTCGTAATCGCGCTAGGACGCAGAGAATAATTCCACACACAGGCAGATTCACCAGTGCTCGGTTCCAGCTCTCCAGATGTAATAATTCTTCCTCCCGAAGCCCCGCAGGCTTCGGGAGCCGGCGATCGCTGCCGGAAATGGTTCTCTTTGTTCTTGACCCGGTTTACCGCAATGCGGTAAACCGGGTGCCCTATCCGCTTCCGGGTT